GCTGGCATCTGAGCGCCCTCCACGGTGAGCTGCTGGGTGGACTTGCCCCACGACAGGCACGGGCACAGCAACGCTCCGATTGAATAGAGTCCAGCCGAAGGCAAGAGGGACAAAGATGCCATTGGAAGATGCGCTGCGGCCTGAGTGGGCGGGAAGGGTGATGGCCCTTCAAGCGGGAACACCTGTGCAAAGGTGAACTCGCCGTCTCACCGTCAAGGCGGATGCCGGACACCCAGCGCCTCTATCCCTGCCTTTGGCCAGGTGCAGGCTGCTCTTGAAGAGAGCGTGCTACTTGGGTCAGCTGAACACGTCCCATCGAATCGCACATTCAACAGCTCATGTGGGCTCTGGCTGGGCCGGCCTCCCGGGGGCATCAGCCCACCCTCCGAGCCATCCTGTGGGGGTTTCCTGCCGTTAGCGGCGCGGACAGCCCTGGGCCAGCAGCCGGAATGTAACCGGGGAGTTCTCTGTGGTCCAGAACAAGCCCGGAGTCCTGCTGCACTGCCGATCCTCCCCACACGTGGGAGCATCGCCAACGAGACCAGGGCCTGGCCCAGAGCCTGCCTCCAGCAGAATGGCCGGCCTCTGGATGTTCAAGTTTAAAACAGAGTAAGTTTGAAAATAGCCGCATCTATTTTGTATCAGAAATGAGGGATCACTTGAGAATCCAGGGAGTCTCCCGGGCAGCCACTTGGCCGACAAGGATGCTGGGGCCTCCAGAGATGAGCCTCACGGACTCCGGTCTCGGGGGGGTCACAGGTGTCCTTCAGCCCCGCCGCACCCCTGAGGGACGGAGTCAGGATCCAAGGGAACCTTTTGCTGGGAAGGATTTGGCAAATATGGAGACAGATGCCTCGGGCCTGGGCAGGGCTGGTGAGCCTCAGGAGGCCCCGTCGCTAGGGGCTGCTCAAGTCAGGGTGCAGGCCCCGGGCTGCCGGGACTTCCTTTTCTAGAGAATTGAGAAGCCCAGGTGTGTATATGGACGCTCGGGTTTTAAATGGCGCCTCCAGAGCTGTAAAAAGCACCTTCCAAGCCACACACCCCATCCACCAGCTGGCCTGCCTGTGCACCTGCGGCGGCACCTCTGGTTTAAACATTTGTTCTCCAGGTCACGCTTCAGAGTGGCGCCTTCAGGTGCCACAGGTGGCTCTGCTGTGCGAGGCGTGTGTCGGGGGAGCAAGGTGTGGACACGGTGTGATGACATTTGTTTGCCGATTCCCCCTGAACCCACTGCCTAGACTCCGCCCACTTGTGCCCAGAGAGCCCTGACCGTGACCACAGATGTGTCCCTCAGGACAGCCCTCTCCCAAGCGCTAGTCTTTGGAGGAGACAGTGGGAGGGGGACTCTGTGTGGTCTGACCAAGAGGGTTGCAAAGATCTCTGCACCTAAATCCTTGCTCTAGGTTCATCCCCTCATCAAGGGATGTGGAACTCCCTTCTTGATGGGTCTCTTAAGCACATGGGCTAATGGCATGAGAAGCAGCCTTGACCGAAGTAGCCCGGGGCCTTAGCAGGCTCACCCCAGGGAGAAGCCGCCCTGCCTGGGCTTCTGCGGCCCCAGCAGCCTCCACTTCAGGACAGGAAGCTGGGCT